GACAAAACTGAACACGACCACAGACCAGATGTAACACTTCATTGTGAAAATCTCACAGAATGTCTCTAATGTAAGACAAAAAAATGCTGTTCTTCTATAGTTGCTTTTGTCATTCTAACCGATTCTTTATTTTACCAATGTGACCGATGTGCCACATATTGTACTGAAAGTCATAATTCTAGCAGTTTAGGTGATTAACTAATAGTAAGAGAGCACTGTAGGTGTTGGAGTTTTTTTTTTTTCTCTCTTTCGTCTCACCTTCTCTGATTCCACTTCTAGGTGTCTGTCAGCTTGTGATACTGTGATCACATGGTTAATCAGAGGTGATCCAAATGCATTTTACACATTCCACTCTCCTCCTTGCGCCTCATACAAATAAATCACATCCGCCATCTACCCTATGAATCTCCAAATCATCGGCCACCTTATATCGCAGAAGCAACAACACTGATGATCTTATTAGAGGGATAGAGCAATGATGCACTTTTACCATCAATACTGATATCCGACCAGTTCCTAATAATTTCTGCTCTTGGCAGCACCACTTGCTTCGGCCAAGCCACTTAACAAATCAAGTCATACCACAACTGCGACCAGCAGACAATGTAGCCTGCGTGGCCTCAACCTCAGCAACAATCACCTCTACTTCACTCTGTAAAATGGAATGAATAAACCAAGTTATGTGCAATTTTGGGATTTTTGATTAATTTACCTTTTGCAGTTAATAGAATGGGGGTGCATACCATCTCACATCCACTGTGACTGATAAAAACAGATTAGCTTTCTCCACATTTATTTTTTTAAATTGATTTTATAGATGAAGCCCAAGGTCACTATTAATGGAGATTAAAATATGCTATTTGTTTTAAAATGTACTGTTGATCCATATTGTGTTATTGATTTCATGTAATTTATACTAAATCATTGGATGTGAGTGTGTGAATTTAAAACAGGTCGTTGCTGTTAAAGGGCATGCTGCAAAGGTGCATCAATTGTTTCTGTTCTAGATCCATGGTTTCCATCATTTGTCCAAACATAGCGACGTCAAAACTGCTGTTAATGGCGAATGAAGGGAAAGATTACATGAACAAATTTCCCCCAACCCCAACTCAAACCTGTCATCCATGCGAACACCTTAATTTGTGTCTTCTAATATATGCATGTGTATACTCCTCCCTATATATGTATTTGTGTTTTGTACAAGATTTGTATTTGTCCAACCTGTGCACCGGCCCCTCTATCTCTACTGAACACCTTGAGGTCATATCGGCCCTATGCTGGACAGGGTGGCTGGTTCCCATTTAGATTATGGATGGTTATTACTGCCTCCCGGCTGTCAGTCAGATTAGACCAATATGTCCCAGAATGGAGGCTCATTGTGCAACATAGAGGACCTTCTGCTGGGGAGGAGGAGGGGCAATTTAAATAAGTCATCTCCAGAACCTTCCATGTTTTACAAATCTATTAGTGCACTCTCTAGATGTATCCATGTGTCAAGTATTTGTTGTACCAAATGTCCACTATGTAAGGTAATGTCTAGTCTGTCTGCCTGCCTCTCTATATCTATAATCACAAGAATAACATTGTCTTACACTCTTGGCACCTGCAGTTAAGTACATGTAAGAAAGACACAAGAAAACAAACACACATATCTGCAGTATTCCCTTGTAACACATTCAACTGATTAAATAATTTGTTGGTTGTTGGTTAGCAGAATAGTGTGGTTCCTAATAATAGAGAACATTAGCGTAAGTTGTTTGATGTTATGTCTGCTCACAGCTCTAATATGCAGATGCGGTTTGGTTTTCACCACTTTGAAAGACATGATAGACATTAAACTGAAATGTTCTTGTTTATATCACCACATTATTTGAGATACAGTATGTAGCAAGCACACTTAAGTGGTTATTCGTGATTGTTTCAAGATTCATTATATATCTGTTTATAGCCCCACTGCTGAGGGAAATCTGGTTTCACTTTGATGACAACTTTTATGGGGAGGGAAATTGAAAGATGTTAGATTTGCAGGATTTTATGAACAGACATTTCAATGCTTTCAATTACTGAGTGTAAGTACCAGTATAGTCCCACTTTCCTGACTATTCTAGCAATATGTTATTTAATGCCATTTTATTTTTCTTCTGTGGCTTTGTAATACAGTATTAGAAGTATTTCCACCAGAATGTGTAGCAGTAGTTTCAACAGCAGTGTGAGACAGACAAGCAATTGTTTTAAAGCAGTCTGTTAAGCCATGTGTTGATTTACTGAATAGCATCCTTTCTGAAAGGCTTGGTATAATAATATTGGCATGACTAAATAGAATAATAAGCTAAAATAAATGAAACCTATCTGAAACATGAAAACCCCTTTAGAATACCCACTTTTAAAGTCAACTTTGACTGCCACAAAACTTTAACAAATCCTCTTACCATGATGATAAATAGGTAATTTGTATGCCTTCCAACACAACCCATATGGCTGTTCCAAAAACTACACATGCCTGCTTTATGGTTGAGATCTGGAAGCTGAAAGTACTTGGTTAAGCTCAGGAAAACAACACTGTCTTGGTTCAGAGAAATCAATATTGACTGTTGGTACAAGACGGGGCATTAACTGCGCTCACGTGTGTCACTTTCTCCTTAAGAGGTTTGCCATAACAACGTTGCAGACAGTATATTTGGTTGTGTTCCATCGTGAGGGCAGTAAATATTCTACTACAACTACAAACTACAAAAGTTCACCTGTCAGGAAAGTGCAAACATAGGTCATTTAAGTGTCTCACTGCGGCATGCTAAAACCCCTGATTTGCCTCCTATACATCACATGGTGTATGTGAGCTTAAGTCAGTTTTGTCTGCAACTGTGTACCACAGAGGCATTTACCCAACACGGGTGACAAACTGAGTAGTAAGAAGTGTGCTGTTTCACTATTTCAGCAGAGGTGAACACTCTTCTCATCTTCTAATCTATTTATTAAATGGGGAGTACATTTTCTCTCTGCAGACAATAATAGATAAATAGTAATGTTCATTTCCATGGGAAATAAGCCATGTGATGCTATTCGCATGGGGTGTTTTGAGTTATTTATATGTAACATCAACAACTGCCGACAAGAATTTGCCAGCCCAGTGTACTGTACAAATAAAAGTCAGTATTTTGTGTACTCTTATGATTCACCATTTTCAACTTGTGTGGACCAAAAAATATTTCTTTTATGTATCTCTATCTTCTCAGCATGTGTATTTATGTGTGGGTGTGAATAGTTGTCTGCACTCAGAGGCGTATGTTGTTTTTTTCCCTTCTTTTTTTTTTCTTTGTGAGTGTGTAATTGTGTGTGTGTAGACACAGACACAGTATGTCTCTGTGGGCTTGCATGTGTGTGTTTTGACCCTGATGGTAAGAGAGGAGAGGAAATGGCAGAAGGAAAACCGCACTACAGTAAGTGAAGTGTGGAATGTGCTTGGTTTTGGGATCACATTGGCCCATGTGCATGGGAAAACACAAAGAAGAGCGTCTACTGCCAGACAGATGAGAGGTTGGGAAAGTGCTTCGCTTTAACTCCCTGTGACTTCAATTTAAGCTTTCTCTCATATTTAAAATAGTGTTAAAGGCTGTGGATCACTCTTTAATTCTGCTGTTTATCACAATGCTGTCTAAGTGAATCATTTTCCCCTTCAGTTTGCAGCTGCGGAGAAAGGATTCATGGATGCTGTCTGAGTTGAAATCATTTGTTCCAGGGGTGTCCTAAGTTTGTCAAAACAGTCAGCTCAGCTTGTCTTTCTAGACATTTAGTGGAAACACTGAATGCAGACACCCCCTGAAATAAAGTACCACATTAAATTAGATTGGCAATATAAAAGTTTTTAAAACCCTCTGAGAGCACTTTGTGAAGTGATTTTATTTTCACATCCAAAAACACCACAGGGAATTCAGGCTGACAGAGCACTGATGTTTGGTTTGTGAAGAGGAAAAAAAACTCTATGGGACTCTGTGCATGTTTCTCTGCGTTATGATTGGAATTGAGACTTTACTAGTTTTCTAAAATGGTTTTAGATGCATTTGCAGCAGCATGAAATGCTTGTATCTATAACTGTCTCACTGTCAGCCTCATGGTCTATGTGGCCTTAACCCTTTCCATATGTTAATGCAAAATTAGTATGCAATGCTGTGGAAGAAAACGTGTAGATGACATTTAATCATACTTTAATTAAGCCAGCTCATTGACAGCCAGTATCATTAGCTATCGAGAAATAACACGTGCAGAATTAATGTTGTCTTTAGAGCATCAAATCCCAATATGTTCATGTTTGTCCATCCGTCCATCCTTCCATCCAATGAAGCCTTCCAAAGGGAATTGTTTCAACATGTAACACATTTCTGATAATCCCTAACAGTAATGGCAATTTTCTTCATCATCCTATGCATCTGATGCCCTTGGTCTTTTGCCTCCGCAGCGGTGTCCAGCTTCCAGGCACATTTTCAGAGCAATTTTATGAGTGATGATGGAGATAGAGGGTTGTGGTAATGATGGTAGACAGGCCAAGTCTCAGCCATGGAGCTGGACTGGGGCTTAGGAGCCAGGGATGCAGCAAACAAGTATATATGCCACAGGGGCTAATCCTACACTGGTCCAGAATGATGAACACATATTAGTCAAAGGCCACCGACCAGGACATAGCATAGTAAGAGTGTATAAATGGGGGATGGGCTGTGACACAGTGCCAGGTTACGCTCAGTGGTCGCAGTGTGGAGTATCACTGCTGGCAGGATGTTGTGCCTACAGGTAGCAGGTGTGTCTGGCGTTACATTTTGTATGCTCCCTTGGATTACATGTCAAATGTTACTCCACATATGGTAGTGCACAGTGCGATTAATGCTATAGTTGAATCAGCAGAGCTACATGCAGCTGCAGCACTGAATACTGTGACATAGTTTTGACAAAGCTAATATAATTTTTCTCTCTTCCCTTCCTCCCTCTTTTCTTCCTCTGTGTCTCAACAGCAGCAGATGGTGAGGAACCAACTTCAGCAGGTGGGAAATTTTTATGCTTGGTAACATGATTTCCCTTTCATTTGTGTATGTCTGTGTGTGTGTGTTGTGCTGCTGCTGTGTGTGGCTGGTGGTGTGGGTGTGGTGTGTGTGATAGAGAGAGAGAGCAAGAGGGTGCTTTCAGTCTCTAAATCTTGGCCAAGCCTCTCCCTTCCTTCATTACCATGTACTCTAATTCCTGTATCGAACCACTGATCATGCCTGGTCAGCAACACTCGTGATTATATCATTTGGTAGTTCAGTTCATAAGGCAGTCCTATTTAAACCTCCACTAATAGTGTGACTTGTCTTGGTCTGGTACAGAGTTTTGAGATTGTTTTCAGAATCTCACAGTCCAATTCAGGCCGGTGATTGCTTTAGCTTGATTGCTTTTCATCGAGTGAAATTTTCAGAATACCTGAGAATTGAGCATAATTTCTAGGGATGTTTTTTAAAACCATTCCTAGTCTGTCTGAGCAAGGATGTTTAAATCCATTACCTCCAGAATAGCTTTAATATACAACAATTTCAATATCTTACTGTCATTTATGTAAAGTACAATGCATTCCATCTTTAAATGCATGCCATTAGCATTAGTCTGAATGTAAAGTGTATCCAGTCCCTAAGGAGTGCACTGAGTTGTGCTGCTCTTAGTGTTTGCATTTAATAGGTAATAAAGTAAGTAATCTGTGAATTATCATACAGAAACTTCCTTTGAAAATCCTCTTCTTTCGAGATCATATTTGTTATTCAATAGTACTGCTTCTCATTATTGAAAGAACTAATGTAACGAGAGTTTCATTACAAAAGCAAGACCACAGAGGACAACAGTAAACAAGAACCTGATTTATCTTCATCAGTGATATAATTAAAATGTCACTTCACATCCTGGGGAAGCACTGCAACTGAATACAAACTTCCTAGTTCTAAGTGCATCCTCAGCATCTAATTGTCTTTGTCTATGTTTCTTTCATTAATATTAATAGTGGAATGTTTATTTGAGATCAAATGGGTTAAAACAAGACTGATTTATTTAGATAAGACATAATACCCTACAAATCAAAGCAGTCTGTTGTTTCAGTGCTAAGCTTAGTGTCATCTCAGACTCTGATCAGTCAGTCAAGACAGAAACACAAACAAATGTATGCATACGTACATCCACATACATAATTCATATATAAATACATAAATACAACTGAATATACATTTGCTGCAATATAAATCTAAAATAAACTTACTTTAAAAAATGAATATTGGAAAGTGAAATTTCACACAAAAAGTACTAAATAAATTAAAAGGCTCATTTAAATATCTACATCCAAATCTCATATTTTTTAACCAAAGTCACAAAGCACAATTCAGATTGAATTGCCCGGTGACAGATGTCACACATAGGGCTCTCACAAGAACCGATACCAAGTCGATACCAAAGTTCTTCTAGTTTTTTTGCAGCACTGTGGGTACCATAAGTACCAGGAATACAGGGGGCGGCATACACGCCAACAAGTATTCTAGTCTCCTGTTAAATGCATAGTAAGAACAGTGCATATAAGAACAGTAACATGTTGAAGATGGGGGGAAGTGCAGCTGCAGCAACAGCTCAACCTCGACTCTGAGAAAAGAAAAACAGGAAAACTTTTTTAACTCTGAGGGGTCTCTCCTTGCAGAGCATTCAGGAGGAGAAGAGGTGCTCACCTGAAATGGTTTGCTGAGTCTCAGAATTATCCACAGTCACACTATGACTATAGAACTACTTTTATTATATTGTTAGAACAATATGCAAGCCAAGTGTGAACATACTGTAAATTATTAACATTTATTTATAATATATAGCAATTCAGTCTAAATATACTCCTGTTAATTGCTTGAAAGAATAACGGCAATAAATCATGTTGGCAAAGCTTTTTTTGTGTGTACTGTACACATTTCAGATAACAGAGAGAATGCGGCAAACAGCACAAGAAATAATTATCTGATCTGAAAATGACCCGAATTAGGTGTGACTTGTGGCCACTGACCTGGAACTGGACTTCGGGAGAAAATAGGACAGGGTGATGTGGAAGGCCAAATTACTCATGACAGGTTTAAAGAATTTAGCATATCAGCTGCTATTTCTCAGCCTTCATATCTTTAATCTACATATTCACACCCTTTGTCTGCACACATAAAGGGGACTAGTCCTCAGCACATTTGGCCTGTATTTCTTTAGGGTCTGTGTATATCTCTGCATGTGTCTTGCTACTGTTTTGAAAGGTTGACGTTGATAAAGAAAATCTGCTTAGTGTGATAACATGACAAAATATTGGATTTCATTTTGACCTCTGCCCTAATAAAATAATGAAATGAGAAAATTGGCTACATTTTATCTACATAAGGTGGGATTCTTTCTTTATATCTAGGAAAGTCTGTTCCTACTGTAAGAAATGGAAAATTTCTGATTACATTAAGAATACAAAGGACAATGACTAACTGTACCTTCATCTTTTTGCTGTGAAGCTGCAAAAAATCCCACCGAGAAATAGCAATGACTGAACTGAATTACATTAATAAATGTAGTGAGCATACAGTGTGTCACCTTTTTTATTGTGTTTTAGGATGTAGTGGGAGACTGTAATTTCAATGTTGCATATTAAGTAGTTACATTATTACTACTTCGATTAATTTGTAAATGTGATCTTGAACGTCAAATATGCAGCTTTTTCTCAGTAAGTAAGCAAAGCACATTTGAATCTTTTTTCTTTTTTTATAAAAAGGAAGTAGTTTTAATGGGCACCGGTCTTTCATTATATACCAAGAGATACTAAAATATCCATATTAAGAAACTCTCAGATTCCTCTCAGATCATGATCAAAACTCTTCACTGGCTTTCAGAATGTACTCATCATGTGCATTAGTCTTAAGTACAAAATTCATTTCTTCACATTTATATAATTATAGATAAAAGATAAAGAGAGAGAGAGAGAGAGTGCATTAATAGGTTTCATCCATTCAGACATCCCCTTGCTTATGCATCTGAGAGATGAAGATTGTGTCTTCCTGTCCATCTCATTCAGTATTTGCTTAATGTGTTTTTTTGATGTATAGTTATTGTACATTATTAAACATTTTATTGTATGCATATATTACATATTGGTAAATGGTAATTGGACTGCATTTATTCTTTATAGTCTTCTAACTACTTAAAGTGCTTTACGCTACAGGTCAACATTCACCCATTCACACACACATTCATACACAGATGACAAAGGCTGACATGCAATCATCAGAAACAGAAAGTAACGCCTATTCTTACACACATACACACACACACACACACACACACACACATACACACACACACAGACTGATGGCGCAACCTTAGGGAGCAGGTTCATAGGAGCAGGTCATAAGGTCTCAAGAATCTTCCGATTAGTGGACGACCTGCTATACCTCTAAGCCAGCCTTCCCCCATTATATATTAATTATGATACACTTAACTTTCTGTTAGTATCTAGTTTAGGGAGAATGAGCGCCTAAACTAATTGTCAAATTGTAATTGTAACAAATAGACTCACAGAAAGTGAGTCTTCCTTCGTGTGAAATGTGCCTTGTAGACTTAAGAATCTTATTTTTTATTGAATGTAAGGCCTACCATGAATCCTTTAGAGCTACAATGACCCTGGTATTGATAAAGCAAACCTAATTGTATGCTTACAGTGGCCTCTGTGGTATGCAGGGTGCTGTTTTCTGAGAAGGCTCCATGAGACGCAGGCTCTGGCTTCCATGCACAAATTGAAATTTTGCAAAGCCCATTGCAGGGGCAGCCCCAATCACATATTTGCAGTGTCATTTTACTGCAAAAAGTTGTAGATGATGTAACCTAAAATTAATTCACACAACACTGCAGGTGCCCCCACAAATTCTATAAATGCTTAAGCCCTGTGGTTGAAGCATGTGGACTCCACAGGCAAATACCAGAGATGCCACTGAGACCTCAAGAAGCATAATTGAGTTTTAAGGTTAAGTGGATAAATAACAGTCTCTTTGCAGAACACAGAACAGTAGTTGTCCCCCACTGAAATACTTGGTGCTAGCTTCTCTCTAATTTTCTTAAATCTTATTAGGTTACAGCTAATTCCTTTTACGATATATAATTTTGCATTGCTCACAAACATTAGAATCAGGACAATGCCTTTGTTACCGAAGACCCTTTGGAGGCAGGCCCAATGCTGACATGACATTTTCATGGCATTTAGTATCTGACAAGACAACCTTCATTTATGCCTTTCTTTGGATCTTCCAAGAATGATGCTGCTCTTCAGTGTGACCTCTCCATTCGGATATTTAGTTGACATATTCCAAACCATTTTGTTTCTGCTTGATTCTTACTACTTTCAATTCTAAGTGCATTTGTCCGACATTGTCAAATGCTGATGGGCTGAAATGGCAGTGTGGCAAGGGCACAGGAGAATAGAATTCACTAAAAGCATGAACGTACGGCAGCTCATGCTGAGAGCACTGATGTAATATTGGTGGTACAGTGCCAACTTTCATCAGTCGAGGTGAAGGATGGGTGCAGTGACCATGAGCCTGTGAACCAGTGAAGCCATCATAGAAAAAGAGGCTGGGTTAAAATAGATTTGACACAATTAGGCCATGTCAGATTTCTCTGTGATGTGGCTGGGTGCACATTCAGAGCTGAGGAACTTCAATGTAAATTTCACTCTCTTGAGGCAGGTAAAATGTGTATTTCTTAAAATATTTTAATAAAAGGTTAACAAGGTGGTTGATGGGCCAGCTTTTCACTGTTAACTCAGTACTGTGTAAGATGGAGAAATTGGAACTGAAATTCAGTTGACAGTTTCATTTTCAGGGGACTTTTTCATCGACAGTCATTTCACTTGTGTTATTTAATTATCTACGGAACCTCTCTAAAATAAAGGTTTTCCAATAAAGGTAGTGGGTGTGACTTTGGTGGTTGGTGTTTCAGTGCAGCTGTCAATTAAGGATTTGTGGTTAGTATTAGATTAAAGGCACTTCTACCACTGCTGCAGCTAAATGGTCAGTTGGCCCCACAACCACATCACCGGGATCAACAGATATCTTTATCAAGGATTCAGTAATTCTTTGTTAGACTTGTAGTAAGACCCTTTTTACCCTTTCCTTGCATTTAATTTATCAGAGAAATAGCTGTAATACTGTATATTGTTTACATTTGTATAGAGGAGTGTTGTCTCTGAGTCTTTGTAATAGGAAAACAGAGTGAACAAGAGGCTCAGTACTTAATTATATCCCTCTTATGAAATTAAGTGAGTCTTAATACCTAAAGCCTCTCAGCTTCAATGGTGCATTGTAAAATTTAGCATTGTAAACTATATCATTTATAAGGGGCTAAGTTATAGGTGTAGTGTAATGACATTAGTATTTGCTTGTACATTTGGAAGAAGCTAATGTTTGTGACAGCTGTCAGCTAAGATGTAAGAGCGCATATGTAGTCTTAACCCTGAAAATGTCAGGCCTTCGTGATTGATCTTCAAGGAAACAAAGGATGCTTTCCTGTGTTTAACCATTGGTCAGGTTTTCACAGTTGATTGATTGGACTCTCTTTGCAGCCAGAAAAGAAATCACAGCGCTCGTGCCGGACACAACACAGGCTCACATCAATCACAGAGCGAGCGTTGGCTTGTACAGCAGAGCAGCAGCTGACGTTCACACAAGAAAGCTGCCAATGTTTCCTCCAGACACGCATCACACAACTTACCAAGAGAGCATCCACTGACAGCCTGATGAGATATCCTCACATGACACCCAATGTCCACCTCCTCACCTTTTCTGGAAAAGTTGCTTGTTTTTTCTTTGATGTGTCTTGATCTCCACTTTTGTATCTACAAATGTATCATTTATATTTTCTTGTTAGGAAGTTAGAAACATGTTAGTCCAGCAGCCACAATGAGCACTTTTCCAATAAGTTTTTAAAAGAGTTTTATAAATCTCAACCCACTATGATAGTGTGCTAATGTAACTGTTGTAGTCCATCAGGTTTTGATGTTTTTTAACACATCAGGGTGTAAAGGTATGCAGTGTCTCCCTCAACTTGAAGTGTTCTAGGTTTAGAATTGTCATCCAGCTCCATAGCAACAGTATCAGTAAATCAGTATTTTTGAAATGATGCTTTGTAATTTTTTGGAGCCTTTTATATCTAAAAAATAACTCAAACATAGCTGTCACACAGAACACACTCCCTCTGTATCTGTCTCATACACTCACTTTGACTCTCTCTCTCTCTCTTACTCCCACCGCCTCTTTCCCTCCCTGCTTTTTTCAGCTTTATGCGCTCTCCATTAGGGAGGCTGTCAGTACGCCTTGGTGCGACTATAGATCGCCACGTCAAAACAGCCCTGAAACCTGTCACCCCCCTCTTCCTCAGAGAGCAGGGCCTCTGTGAAAGCTATTATACGTTTCTCTGTTCAGCTGATTAGCCACCGCTCTCATTATTACTGATACAGGTCCTGGCTTTGAAATGGCATGGCTTCGATAGGATTAACTCCTTTGTAATTCATATCCAGAGGCCTACTAATTTCAACGAGAGAACAATAATAAGATTGCTACTGGTGTTTATTTATCTATTTCCGTTCCTGAGTTCATTTTCAGCTTATGCATTTTCTGGGTTGGGGCTAGCCTTAAATGGTTGAGCAGATGATGTAGTATACAATTCAAGGCCGCGCCTGTTTACTTGACATTGTCGAATTTTCTGCTCATGGCTGTTCATTTGTCAAATTGACTTAAGAGGGCATGATAGTCTCACCCTTGAGACTTGTTCTTGTTGCTTATCACTTAAAATGAAATAAGAGTCCTGTCAAAGCATAGTTTACCTGTCAACGGTAAGATATGACTGCAAAAAGACTAGAATAGAAATTGCATCAAGAGACAGGAAGCCTAAAGAGAGGGTTCACGGGAAGCAAATTTCTGTGAACTGTTTTCTGTTGACAGACTACAAGCTTGAGACTGACCATATGTTGTCACAGAAAACATCAGACATTCGTTACACATCGGCCGTTTAACATTCAACACGTGCTGAGCTTTAACCAAGTTTGCATTAATATCCGATGGGAGACTCCGAAAGTTTTTCCCATCCAATCTCAATCCACAAAGTTTTGACAGCCTCGGTGCAGTTGTACAACTCAATGTTTAAAAGATGAGACAGCTATTGGCAGGCCCTTGAGTTATGAAACCAATAACCCTGCGTCAAGGCCTTGTCATTTACATTTGGCCTCATGCTGCAGGTTAGTCCGAGAAAGGTTTTAGATGGCCGTAATATGGCATCATGTTGTAGGCATTGCCAATGAATTAATATATTGCTGTGTCATATAAATTTGCTTGTAATAACTGATTCAAGGCTGCAGGTATCATCATTGGTCCCAGAGAGCAAAATTATGAGGAAAATAAATTATATATAATAAGGGGAAAAAACACACTTAAACACTTAAGAAGAAAAAGTACTCAAACTGAGTTATTAATCATTACCAGCATAACTTTGAGAGTGTTTTTTTTTTTTTTTTTGGGTGATTTGAAATTCTTTCTTTTGTTTGCTAAATCCCCAAAGAATCCCCATGAATTCACCAGCGATTGCAAAGCCTCCCAATGCTCACTACACCCAAATATTAAAGAGACAACAATGGTAATGATGAATGGGGCACTGCAAACACAGCAAGAATACATGTGCTTAGTGGCCCTGAATACAAATTCCCTTGCAAATTAGTGTTTGGCACATGCAAGACTTTTCTGCACTGTACTGACCCTTGCACAGGGTAACAGCATAAGCACCCTTTGATTTTCAGTAGGAATGTTGAACTGTTGTAATGTGTGTGGTGTGGAATAGCAACATGTGGAAACGCATGGAATACACTTAACAAAGAAAGCAACGAAGCCATTAGCAAATACAGTACGTATCAATTCATATAAACTATGCGAAAAAGGATACATACACTCATACATGGATGAAAACAATCCTTGCAATAAAGGGCAAGTTCTTTTGGTAAATGAAACGTATTTTCAATATTCAGAATTTGTATATTTTGCTACTTTATGAAGTGCCTTATGAAATTTAATGAGAAGTAACTCTATCCTCATGATGATTTTGTGTGTTGAGAGCACTAAGAAAAGCAAGGGATCCATGTGTCTTTTGTAGAGTTCAGTTACATATATGTAACACATTCCACATATGTTAGCAATAAAGACAATCTCACTGTAACCAAGCTTATATAGATATTTTCTTATTTATTTTCATTTAAAACTAACATTTTTTTTTAAATTACTTATTTAGAATGATGTATGTGTGATAGCACTTTGCAGTGTCCAAGGCACTGGCCTCTATACTGCACCTTATGTTATATAAAGAATAAATAGCTGCACAAATGGCAGAAGGTCAGTTATTAATTATCCAGCGAGCCTACATACCCAGCAGTGCAGGAAACATCTTTGCAGTCACTCAAGCAAACATTGTTTTGCACTGTGGAATATAAGTACAGTACACAATTGATAATTGGATGCAAAGGCCAAAAATGAGCTGTTTGGCCCGCTTAACGTTCATTATAGTGTTTCATTTCAAAGGTAACTCACTTCTGTTGTAACAAATACCCTACTAATTGTTGATTCTGTGTTTTGGCATCGTCGGTATCATGATTTTTCTGTCTCAATTTCAAGTTTTTCCACTCCAGCAACCTAAATCTGGTAGAGCAATTCAGTCTTCTCTGCACTCTTGTGCGTGTATGTGTGAGTGTGCCAGTGAGTGTGTGTATTAGCATGCAGTTAGTCTGTGCTTTCCTCTTGAAACTGTGAGCACTGTGAGGATGAAGTGTTGCTTTCCTGCAGGGGACATATTCAATGATTTTTAGACGGTACCTTGGGCTGCCCTCCAGACCACAGAGACCAACAGCAGTCACTGAAAGCCAGCCTCTCTCTTCTCTCCTGTCATCCTCAGTTTTGCCTGTCAAACTGTTTTACTTATACACTGTCTCACAAGATCCAGCTCTATTTAAACTTTGTCGCTGAAAATGTTTTCAAATGCACAGGCAATATGCATGTTTGATTAAATTAAATCCTTGGCTAAGGTTGTATAAGAATGTTTTTTGTCAGTGTTGGCAGGGCAATATTCATTTTATTCATGCACACTCTGAAAAACAGCGTGCTTCACTAGAATGATCCAATTACCTAGAACATTGTATACTTGTATGCACAGCAAATGAGAAAGTGAAAGATGCAGCCCATTATCAGTTTCTCACCGTCTTAACATAACATCTTGTTTTAATAGTGGCACAAAACTGACTTCTTAACAGTGATTTCCTCTTTTTTCAATGCAGGCCCTTGCCATCCAAATCCTTGCCACAACAGAGGAACATGTGAGATCAGTGAGACCTACAGGGGTGACACTTTCATCGGTTACGTCTGCAAGTGTCCACCAGGCTTCAGTGGAGTTCACTGCCAACACAGTAAGTTGGACCACTCTCTTCCTTGTTTCTCTAAAAACCTAAAAAAACCTTGACACACGTAAATTCTTATAAAATAGAATATTAAATCAAAGAGTTTGTAAGGTTTTCAGAAAACCTCTGCGTCTCCTTTTACACATTTCCGTGAAGTGTGATTTGTCTGTTTGATCTGAAAGATTTTCAACACAAATAATGACCTTGAGCAGTGAATAAATGTTGAACAGCTGACAGAAAGTAAATCGCTGTTGAAAGGACGAGTTCAGCAAAACGATAGTGAAAAGAAATGCTGAACTTGCTTTCTTTTGTTGAGCATGCTCTTAATAAAGGTTGGAGTCAGAAGGTTTTTGCTGCCTATGAGATACGTTAGACCATGAGCATTGTTCTGAACCCCAGTACAATTTATGCTCTATCTTTAAACAGACTTTCTGAACTTTTAAGCCTCTTATGCCCTGAAACTGGGCACAAGGCAACATGAGGTGCAAGCGCATGTGAGTGTGACCAACACCAGCAATAGTAAAAACATGAAAATGTACAAATGTACAAAAGGGTCATTGCAACTCTGTAAGTGCACTACTGGCTGTGCTGTGTATTTTGATGTTGTTGAAGACAGTTACAAAGAAATAAAGCAAAGTAATGGAAAATCAGCAACATTGCTTTTCTTAAAACAACAGAAACTTCCTTTTATTGTAAGCTTTCTCCAGCCTTTCTCTCAAACTGTTCACAGAAACAACAAGGAGCAGTAGGAGTGAGCTGTTTTAACATTTCAAAAAGTCAAGTTACTTTTCTTTTTTTTCTGTTTCACGTAAATATTCTCAACAGTAGTCACTGTTCTCAACCAATTTCACAGAAAAGATTAAATAGTGGCTTTTATTGTGTCAGTATTACTCGCAGCACGACTTATTAGGAAATATGTTATTTAACGTCTGGAAGTAAAACCTAGTTAATGTGTATTTAAAAAAGAAAATGTCATATAAGAGATGCAATCAAAATCAGCTAGCCGGCAGTAGAAAAAGTATAGTATCCCACCTACATTGATTTCTTGACTTAAAACTTTTGCATTTTAAATACATCCCAGGATTTGGAAACAGCAAGAAGCTTTTGTCTGTAAGTGCTAAATCTAGCTAAATCCTGCAGAATGATATATAGGCCAAGTCCTGAGGCTGTCTGTGTGTGTGAGCTTGGCAGAGCATTGCGTTAGCCCGCACAACACAGTTGTCCTTCATCACAGGTGTGCTTGTAAGTAATGGATTTAATGTATCACGGTGCAAACTGTGTGGTGAGATGGCCCATTATTGGTCTGAGAGAGATAGAAGTATAGACACACAGAAAGAAAGAGAGATGATAGCCAATACTTACAGAAACCTTTTATATCTGCCTGATAATCCTACCACACCAAGGTCAAACAAAGACAGCACTTGAGAGGTAAACTGAAAAGAAGAAATGGGCTCTCATTTTAGGACAGTTGGTGTCAGTCATTTGTTTCCATATCATTTTCTTTTTTCTATTTTATGAAAATGCACAAAACATAAAAGGAAATGGAGCGAGTCACTATATCAACGGTATTTCATTGTGTTTGTTTCCAGCCAGAGTTGTGAGCAATTGGCTAGCATTCATGTCATAATTCAGTTATTGTTTCCTATTAAGCCCTTAGGGTGGTGAGAAACTGATTTGATATGGGCTGAATACATATTAATGTCTGCCAATTTCCCTCACGGTCATTACAGTTGAATGGAAGAGAGTGGGTGACAGTGAGAGAGGGGGAAAGAGAGAAATAGTTTTGTATCTGAAGACATTTATAATCAAATCTAGCGTCTGAATAATTCCTGCAATTAAATGATAAAGGCATATAAATAATTGTCCCTTTAGAATGACAGCTTAGCAGGCTTTGTTATGGTATGGTGTTGGCTTTTAATTGATGACAAGCTTAATGAAAAGGATAAAAAATTAGAAAAAAGATTTTGGCTGGGAGTTCTGTAGGATACAAGAAACAACACAAAAACAAGGGGTGTTTTAGTCTTGCTGAACAACCTGTCTTAATGTGTGTGTTATTTTAATGAATATCAACCACTTAGATATTAGGTCTATATCTATATAGGTAGATATTGATGTGCCCCTTTTCACTGCTGATGACACTTCAAGCTAGTATTTGTCGATACTATGAATTCATCAATACATTCATTAGTCTCCTTGTTAAAAAGCTGGCAGCTGTTGCAACAGAATGGATACCTGCTGCTTTATTGTGAAATATTAAACCAAATCAGACTAAGATCAGACAAACTCAGGATGTACAGTATTTACGGATGGGTTTTTTAAACATTGCTTCAGGATTGTAGGATTACCTTTTTACCTCATGATATCTAGTAATCCAGTGTTTTAAATCAGTATTGGCCCGGATCAGTGTTTGGATTTCTATATACTGTGCATCATACACATGTAACATAATATAAATGTGTAGGCCAGCCCTGGATTTTTACTGTTGCTCTTACTATCTCCTTGCTCCGTTGGAGCAAAATCCAATTTCTCACCTTTGAACGTTATCCTAAATACATGCGCCACATATCCTGCTTGTTAGACCAGTTTTATGAAGCACAGCCAGCAATGATGTCACACATGGTGAGCTAGGATAAGTACAAGCTATTTCAGACTTTATTGATGGGCAGACACCATACTGTATGTACTCGATGCTGTTGTTATTTTTTTTTACAGCCATCAGTGAGTCAACTTGAGGTGTTAAGATTTCCATATTCAGACCAGACGTCAGACAATCACAGCTAAAGGTGATGGCAGTGTGAAGTCACAGCAGGCGTCAAAGTGAAAGTTTCATAAGTTTGATTTCAGTCAGCCACTTTTATGCAACTCAGTCTAATAGTATCTTGTTTATGGATTTTAGTAGATTAAGTCTTTTAGGGCTGCCCCCGAAAACTCAAAACTCAACTCATAAGTTTGTCAGTCAAATTAATTTGAGTTTTGAGTTTTGATCCCGGTTTAGCTTTTGAAATGGCAGTCAGGCAAAACAGTTGGAAATCAGCTTTACCAAGTCTCAACCACCAGAGAAAAAAACAGGGTTGATTTTAGGTTAGTGTCACTGCTTTTGTTCTGGAAGCCCTTATTACCACTAAGTCATTCATCTTTCGAATAGTGTGGTGTCATGTCCCTGAGAGAACAAGTGCCATGTGATCGGGCAAGAAGCCAAACATTGTAATGAACTGTCACAGTGTGGAGATTGGGACTGATTGCCTCAGATCATTTTTAGGGCATGCATTCTCAGTCTATCAAGGACAAATGAGCTATAAACTGTTGGGATTTTTACTGAAGTTTTTATTTTTCTGCAGAGATATTTGCCATAATGTCTCCCCATAAACGGTCTTGTGTAACAAGCACACCTCCTGGTGAGGTTAAAATTGACGCAGTAATACTAACTCATAGCTTGGAAAGTTGGCAGATCAGAGGAAGAATGTCACACTCTTCTTTTGTGTAGTGAAACTTGATCACAAGTTCCTGTGGCTCCTTTTCCTTTAATCTCTTTGAAAGATGTTGGTTTTGTCTTTTTTCTTTATACTTACTCACTGATACTGTATGTGGAGCTCACTCAAATATATTAAAATAAGTGGTTTGAAGGTCTGAAAAGTCAGGCTAGTGCAGAAGTGCCTTAAACCTGCATTCATTCTAATCCAAAAAATGGGTTTACTCCACTGGTTGCAAAAAGAAGTCTGATTGTATGAAAGCTTATGAAAACATGGCCCTATTTGTCACTTGATTTATTGTATCAGTAAATAGTTTCCTAATGGGTTTATAGTCTCAATCGCTAGTTTTAAGTCTTTAAAATCAGCATGATATTCATTTTGTATATTACGTTCCCAATTAGAGTAAAGCAGAGTAGCCTATACTTTAGGACGTGGCTATCTTGTGATTGACAAGTCACTACCATGGCGACCACCCCTCACTCATCCCTAGCTCTACAATCTCATCCAAATATGGTTCTTACTTCTTTACTTCTGGCTCCAAAAACCAAGATGGCAACAGCCATAATGCCATACAAGAGGTTTATTCCATGAACCAGTGAGTGACATCACGGTGGCTTTGTCGACTATTTATTATAATGTCTATGAGCTCACTGCAAATCACAGACAAAATTAAAGCTAAGAGAGAGAACTGTTTCCTGAAAATATGAGTCGATATGTTGAGGCTGGTTTTATTTTTATTATTTATTTTGGTCTTTTTATTTTTATTTTTTTATTGTTTTATTTTTATATCTGGTTTATTGTTGTTGTTCAAGTATTATCTCAGTCTCTTCCCATCCTTCTGGATCCTGCAAATCCTTTGAGCAGATTCCATCTTGCTCTTTGATCAATACGCGTCTTTGCCTTTCTCTCTGAAACACAAGCAGGGCAGGATTGATTGGAGCTAAATGTAGGATGTGTGAGATTTTTTTAGAGTATGGCCCTGTGTTAGCTCATGTATTGACAGTTGCTATCATGCTGTATTAGCCCTGCTGCCTCCACAGCTTCTTGCCACAGAATAATCAGCCAGTGTTTATGGCTGCAGCCCGTTGTAAGACCGCAAGGAGCCATTACTGTTAGTCAATTCACCTGGGACAGATCACAAACTGCTTTTCATCAGCTCAAGAGAAAAAAATAGACTTCGTAAGGACATGGTCTATGCTTACTCTTTGGTACTACTGCATTACTACCCTGTTGTGTGTGTTTTGCAGTTTGTAAGGAAATATCCAGTGGTGCTATTTTTTTCCCCCCTCTCTAGTGTTTCACAGGGCCCTCTGACTCCACGCCTTCACATGGATTTTTATGGATAGTGAGCAAGAGAAATAGAGATCGGACTTATTTTCTGTCTTCATCTCTTTGTTGTGTTCAATTTACTGCTTAAGAGCAAGATGATAGCATAGACAATAGCACTACAGCCCGAGGCAACATGAGTAGTATCAAAAGGAAAGTGGTTATGTACATCTCAACCTGTAAACATTTGACTACAGCAATATACTCTATTTG